TAGATATCCGCATGGAGGGGGCAACTTGGCTATTAGCTATATAGATTCTGTATATGCAAAACACATAATAATAAAATATTAAAGCGATAGTAAGGATTGTGACCAAAGTTAGGATTTGCTGTTGCATTCTGCGGAGTGACCCAGTTGTGCTTGGTTTCCCATATTCTCTATAGTTTGTTGGGAAAGATTTTTTTTTTAAAAAGTCTACAGACACTGATGAAGCCTGTAAGCATGGCTATGGGTTAAAGGCCCTGGATCACAGTGGTACAACAGTAGAATATGAAACATGAAGCTGCCATATTATACAGCATCAGAAGGTTGGTCTATCTCGCTTTCCAGTACCTGCTGCCTCAGACCCTGTGACTGGAGACGTCGGGCATTGAACCTGGGGCCTTCTTCATGCAAAGCCAGATGTTCTACCACAGAGACACGGCCCCTAGAATAAATTGGCAAGCTTGTGCGAATTGCGTGATGTGGTCAGAGTACCCATTATTGCTGTTGCATTCTGCGGAGTGACCCAGTTGTGCTTGGTTTCCCATATTCTCTATAGTTTGTTGGGAAAGATTTTTTTTTTAAAAAGTCTACAGACACTGATGAAGCCTGTAAGCATGGCTATGGGTTAAAGGCCCTGGATCACAGTGGTACAACAGTAGAATATGAAACATGAAGCTGCCATATTATACAGCATCAGAAGGTTGGTCTATCTCGCTTTCCAGTACCTGCTGCCTCAGACCCTGTGACTGGAGACGTCGGGCATTGAACCTGGGGCCTTCTTCATGCAAAGCCAGATGTTCTACCACAGAGACACGGCCCCTAGAATAAATTGGCAAGCTTGTGCGAATTGCGTGATGTGGTCAGAGTACCCATTATGAAATTCTGTTTGAACTTCTGTTACGAAATCGGTTAACTAATAGATCGTGCCTTCTGACGTCACCCTCCCACTCTTCCCTTCTACACTGATTTTTTAAAAACAAACACACAAATGTTTCACTGGGTTTTTTAATAACTGAGCCCGTGCTTGCTTTCAAAAGCACAATTAAACAGACATCACATTCATAAAGGGTTCCAAGAGTGCGGAGAAAACATTAATGTGTTACCAGAGGCACAGAATAGTTACGACAATTTCCCCAATGGAGCAGTGAGCATTGCATGAGAATTGCTCCTTCTCAAATGAGAGAATGATTTGATGGATTTTATTTTTAGCACATGACTGTCTCCAGCGCCCAGAAGCCAGCACCCTCCCATGTATTGCCTGGGGAAGACAGATGGGGGAGGAGAAACAAAGGTTGCTCCAGAGGGGAGTGGCTGGGCTGCTCTCCGCTTATTTTTTTAAAAACAGGAGACATGCAGTGAAGTGCATAGTTGTTTAAAGATGGATAAACAGTTTAAAAAAATTATACTCTTACAAAACACTGAAGCACTGTTGCAGGGAGAAGGTCCCAGGTTCAATCCATGCTTTCTCCAGTTGAAGCTCACAGGTTGATACAACCCATGTGGTGCACATGTGGTGTCAGCCATGTGGATTTAAAGTGATACACGATATGTACGTGGTCTCTGCTGGGAATCTGCAGTTCTGTACAGGCCGAGTTTGGACTGGGACTGCAGTATGCAAGGTGAAGGGGTTTTAGCCTCCCCTCCCCCACATGAAATTGAGCAAACTCCAGAGGATGGCGGAAGACAGGAGGACCTGCCGTGATGTGGTCCATGGGGTCGCAAAGAGTTGGACTCGACTGTGCGACTGAACAGCAACCCCCCTTTCCTCAACCCAAAACAGGCCTTGGGGACAGCAATTTGCCTTCTTGGGGAAACTGACACGTAGCCATCAGTATATGTAAGTTTCTGTCATATGACTGTCACATGACATGGTCACAGGGCTGTGTCTCCACATGTTTGTCACTCATTGGGTCCCACGTTGCTGCCCCGGGGTTAAAGATGAGTTCTAGGGTCTGGAAAGTCTGAAGACTGCTGCATTATTCAACAATAGAGACCCTAGCAAGAAGAATGGCATTTTCACTGTGTCTGATTTAACTGGAATCTGATTTAATGAGGATCAAGGTGTGTGTGTGGGAAAACAGATTTGGAATCTTATAGCAACAAAGGAGAGGACCATTCTCAGATTTTCTTGTGCATTTGGAGTAGGAGAAAGTCCAGTGTCAAATTATGAAGAAAGGACTAGGAATGGTTTGCTAAACTGGGGAAAGCTGAGCCTCCTAAGATTGTCTTACTGGTGTTTTATTTTATTATTTATTTATTACAGTCAGCTTCTATACCGCTCAGACCCGAAGGAGGAGTCCTCTTATAAATCCCTTTGGAAATGTTACTTGACACAAAGTAAAGTTCAAACAAGAATGTTGATTTTATTGAACAGGCACGGTTGGGTTAGGAATGGGCAGGGGACGAGAAAGTGAGGTGAATTTTGTTGTTTATACAAATTATAATAATATTTTGAACAGACAACAGAGTATAGTTGATGCTTATTTTCTTAGAGACTCAGTTCTTAACTGTGAGAGGTTTGTTTGTCTTGGCAATTTCTTTCAGCAACAATGTGTCTTAATAAAGTTTCATATAACTATCTTAGTTTCCTGGAAGTACTAGAAGTTAGTATTTAAACAACTCCCTTATGGGATTACACCTTTCCCTTTTGTCTCTTGAGGAGTATAAAATGTTCCACTTTTCACAAACCAAGGGGTCCCTTCTGAGTTGAACCCACTGAATAACTGGGTAAAAAACATCCTCCAGTTTCTAGGAGCAATAATCCTTTTCTGACTGGCAGTTTTCAACCTACTGTCCAGTCTCTTCTGTCCAACCTAAACCCCATTTCTGGAGACTGAATAAATGGAGGAGGAGGAGGAGATTGGATTTATACCCCGCCCTTCACTCGGAGTCTCACAGTGGCTTACAAACTCCTTTCCCTTCCCCTCCCCACAACAGACACCCTGTGAGGTGGGTGGGGCTGAGAGAGCTCTGACACAAACTGCTCTTTCAGGAACAGCTGTGCCAGAACTATGGCTTGCCCAAAGTCATCCAGCAGCTGCAAGTGGAGGAGTGGGGAATCAAACCCGGTTCCCCCAGATTAGAGTCTGCACACTTAACCACTACACCAAACTGGCTCTGAGTTAGTTATAAGATTTAAAAGCAAATATTTTTCAAGTGGACGTGCTAGGAGCTGGTTGCAATGGCCCATAGTGCCTTGTATCTGTACTTATTTATATATTTGCATATTTTGAATAAAATTGAGTTTAGGATCTTGGCTTTACAACCTGTGGCTTTTTTTAAAAAAAGGATTTCCTGAATATTAATAACGATCCATTTCTCTCACATGTTTGCAGACCTCTGGGCTGTGCTTCTTTCTGGCGGCTGCGCTGGAGTGCTGGGTTGGGGCGCAGCGACCCCCATGGATGTCATTAAATCACGGATGCAGGCCGACGGCGAAGGGCAACGTAAATACACTGGACTGATGCACTGTGCCAGGGAGAGCATAAAAGAAGAGGGGGTGAGAGTTCTTTTCAAGGGCCTCGGACTCAACTCTGTCCGGGCTTTTCCTACAAACATGATTATCTTCTTTACATACGAAGCTGTGATGAGGCTCGGGGAACGTCTGGCAAAGTGAAGAGGCTGTGCTGACCTTTATGAAGTGTTTCTCAGAATGCTGAAATTCCCTTTTCTCTCTCTCTCTCAAAAAAAGAAGGCATTCTGTGAAATGGGAAATGGAGGGAAGGAGAAAGCTGGCACTGGAAATGCACAGAGATTTGCAGACCTCCAGGTGAGGCTTGGAGGTCTTTTGAGATCACAACTGGACTTCAGACTACAGAAAGCCATTCCCTCAGGGGGAACCATAGTGTCTAGGAGAAATGGAAGTCCTAGAGTGGCTGCAGAGAGCATATGCCCTTGGACTTCCGTTTTGTCTATGGAATACCACAGAGATGATGAGAAACAGAGCGATAGTTAGCTGTAAAAACACTAAAGGCTAGAGGCCGCTAGGGACTGAGAGAGGGATGGAACTGCTATTGGCAGTTGTCCTCCTA